TATGCCGAATATCCAGACCTGGTCGCACGGTGGCCCTTTTTCCAACTTTGTTGCATGAACTGGCGAATGTTTTTTTCAGTTCTGATTGGCATATTCATCAACACATGTTTGAAACAGCTATGAATTACAAGTTCACAGACAGATTGTCTTGGTAGTTACAATACTACGCTGTCAAAAAGATAGAACAGTAAAATCCTGCTCAAATAGTGGCATAGTGGCATATCTAGATTACGTTGCTATCTTTTGGTGAGTTACAGTACTATAAATCTGCTAAAGTTAGATCTATAAATATATATATATGTATATATTGATTCACTCACCTGAATTAAGGCTGTTCTGGGATATTAACCCATACGATTGGCATCATTCCAGTGACATCGCAGTTAGGTACAATCCACCCACTGTGCCATTACTTCTATCATATTCACATGTGTCGTTGATTATACCATATTATGCCCCCTTGTGTGATAGATTTTGCTGTCACTCTCAATAATCTCGAATGTACCAAACAAATCACCCCCGGCTAGCGCAAGATCTGGACATATCTGGACAATGTCCACTGGCAAGATCATCCATTCAACACAAAGGTATGTGGGCATGGGTCAAAATTGTGCACCCAAAGGTCCTAAACATTATAAAGTACTTGTGGAACCAATACCATGTCACGTATTAATTTAGGCTGCATGTGCGACTTAGATTGACATGGAGTTGGTTCACTGAGAACTGGGGATGGTAAGTACAACTGTATGTAAGTGTGTATCCCTCACAACTGGCTTGTAGTTTATGCGTTTTATACATATGTCCTACATTACAAAACGCATGATCTGGATTATCCCTACATTATAGCACATATATCCCCATGAACTATAATTATAGTACAAAAAAATATATGGATATATACATGGCTAAAAAATCCCCACCACATCCCAATGACATCCTAACCATCATCATCCCAGTGACGTCACGACGTGAGGTCAGAATCAAATTCATCTATGTCATATAGCACATAATGATATAATAAATCTAATAGTATATTCATATAGTATAAATATAGTATAAATATATTCATCCAAATCTAATAATTGGATAGAATTGGCGTATTACGTATGGCATCTCATAGTTACCCCCTGGTTATGACTAACATAGCCATGGAAGCCATGGCTCATTTATAGATGATTTTCCCAGCTATAAACCTCCATTTATTAGGGATTTTCCATGGCTATGTTAGTCATAACCAGAGGGTACCCTCTGGTAAACTAACATAGCTATGGAAAATCACCATGTTCAATGGGAAAATCCACTATAAATCACCATTTTCAATAGCTATGTTAAATTACCAGAGGGTATCTCCCATGAAAATCTCCCCATGATAGGCCACCGATCGCATGTTCAATCCCCTCCTGACCGGTGGCGGTTGGCTGACCGCGACTACCGCGGCTGGCCTGGCTTTTGGATGTGACTGAGCCGAGGTGTCGCAGAAAACATAAATCATGTGAGGATGACGCTGAATGTGAATTCACCACATAAATTATGTTTGTTGGTTTATTGATCCCATACAGATATATATATATACCATATCTGGTTGGTGGTTTCAACCTACCCCTCTGAAAAATATATGAGTTCGTCAGTTGGGATGATGACATTCCCAAGATATATATAGAAATGTAAAATTCATGTTCCAGTCACCACCAACCATTTTTTTTTGACTAATTGGAGTTATGTTTTTCAGAACTTAGCCGTGCTGGGGGCACCACCTTGTATCCATACATATCTCATCCACCAGGAAACGCTGAAGGGATCGAAACGCGAGTCTCCAGACTTCCGTAAGTTGACGGATGTGACTGCAAATAGGGTATACCGGTATAGCCCCAATTGATTCGACTCTCATCATAAAATGTTGATTCGCCATGAAATTTTGGAGCCTATCTTAAGTAAGACAATTGCAACCTCCAGAATCTATGCTGTTCAAGAAAAAATGGTAAAAAATGCCCAACTGGCATCTCCAACTTACATCAGGTGATATGACCAAAAATAGACACAGGGGTGACGACCCTGGTTACGACCCTCGCGTCGCCTTCCCATGGTCCGACAAAAAGCACCACTTTGGAGACAAACAATCACAAAACCAGCGAGGATCAATGGATACCCTCTGGTAAACGTTTACATAACCATGGAAAATCACCATTTTTTATAGGTAAATCAACTATAAATGGGCCATTTTCAATAGCTATGTTAAATTACCAGAGGGTATGTGTTTTTCTCAATTTGCATCACGGGTATTGTCATAAGTTTAATTTCTTGGCATTTTAGATCGTTCGAGTATAATCAAGTCAGAATGAGAAACGCTCCTTTTCTCGTGGATAGTTTCACAAAGGACTCAAGAATTGACAGTCTGCATTTGGAGATGGCTCATTATAAAGTTCAGCCTCTGGTAATTTCACATAGCTATTGAAAATGGCCCTTTTTCGATCATTTACCTATTGTGACTATGGTGATTTTCCCATATCTTCCAGTTCCCTATCTTTTTTCAGTACCAGAGGCAAAAAAAACCAATTTCTGTCGCTGAAATCCCATGTTAGTTCACCCGAAATTTCATCATTTTTCCATCGATAAAAATTAGTTTTTCTTAGTTCATCCATGTTCATCCGTGTTTCATAACTATAGTAATCATGTAATAGATGGGTGATATATTGTTAATGATGATTAATATATGGTTAATGATGGTTAATATATGGTTCATACTTTATATCCATATGTTGACTCACTATTTTCACCATGTTCATCCATGGCTTCCATAGCTATGTGAAATTACATGAAATTGCCACTCCTTCTACAATGCACATCCACTCCTACCACTCCTACCACGGCCAAATCGCTCCCCTGTTTTGACAACGAAAAGTTGTGTTGCGCCGCGCTCAGAGTTTCACCTGGCGCCAGGTGCTGCATCCCAGGCTATGTGTGTTATAATAGCACAGGGAAAAAAAACACAAATTATATGAATAATGATTATTGACTAAGATAATGGTTATTACAAAATAATACAAATAGTATTATTATGGTATTATATTATTATCATGTTATATTATTATCATGTTATAATGTCTTTGGCTACACAAAAATAGTTTTGAATAATGATTACTATTACTATAGTTAAACTATATGTTATGTTTAATGACATAACATACGTCTTCAGCACATTAGGGCTGTCCACTTACTGAGATGCAACCCCAAGCAACCAAGAATTCATGGAGATGTTTTTGCCCACCGAGAATGGAAGGTTTCACAGTTTAACCAACTAGAATAATGTGAGGTGATATTGTGATCATATCGATAATATAGGATATAGCCAATGATGATATCCTCACATTATTCTAGTTGGTTAACCAATTATTATCTATAATTAACCGATGATGATATTGTCTCCCTATACATGATCATATCGATCATATATGTCAATAGCTAATGTAAAATATATGATGGCCAATGATCCGTACCATATATATATATGATATATGTGTATGTCTGGGTTAGGCATGATGGTTTCACATCATTAAAAAAAGACGCATTAAAGTCATGACATCAAACGCCATCAACCTGCACCATGGGAGGGTCGACAGACCAAACAGGTGATCGGCTGCTGGGGTGTTTTTGTTGGGGGGTTTGGATTCGCCACTTTTCAGAAACACGGCAAAACAAAACAAAACATGTTTACATAAGTTATATATTTCGATACTTATACTATCTTATATCTATAAATCATAGTATATCATGGTTATTTCTCGTGATTCACACTGAAATAAGGTTTCATTTGGGTGGAACCGGTGGAACCATGTTCAGCTGATGGGGCCCAACGACGGGAGTACGGGATTGTGAGACGAGGATGACATAGATCACCCTCAATCTCAACCAAAGCGCGCACTTTGCACCTATACACAGCGGAAAAAAAGTGTTTGTTAGCTATTTTTTGCCAGTTCATGCCAGTTCATAATATATATATGTTATAATATTTTAAAAAAATGCCAAAAAATGTAAGAGAACAAAATACTCAACCAAAGGTTTACCAAGTTTAGGGCATTTTGAGGGGTCCCCACTCGGCCGATTTCGCAATAACAATCGCTCGGCCGATTGACGCCGCCGTGCCAAAGCTTCTCGCTTGGGATCGCCTGGGAACGGTGCTGAAACATCACATAGCCAGAGCATCCAGGGTGTTGGTGTCTTTACCCACTACCCTCTGGTTATGTCAAAATAGCTATTGAAAATGGCCTTAGAAATAGTGAGTTTTCCCATGAAAAATGGTGATTTTCCATAGTTGTAGTACCACTAGTAAATTGGAAAGCCTAATTGAGACACATTCCTAATGTGGTAAACCTTTACCCTAATGTTGGATACCCTTTTTATGTGGTAAATTGAGAGAAAAGACTTGGAAACCCAAAAATCATGTTGTTTCATAAGGAACCGGATCTATAAATGTGGAGGATCCGGATCTGGTGGTTTTAACGAGACCAAAGTTGGTGGCCCCAAACTAACCTCGACGCTGTTCCTGTTAGTTCATGTTACTTGGGAGGATGGAAACCAAGAAACAGGGGAAAAAAAAACACAGCTAGGCATCTTTACCTACAAAGATGAATAAATCTGAATACTGTAAGGTGGAATTGGCATATATTGGTTCGGTCTCGACTTCCCCTCAAAGAAATATGCAAAAGTCATGTGGTCACTTGGTTTCATCTTTCTAAATAGAGATGTCAATGGATGTTAAACAGATCAGATTTCAAACATGTTACAGTGAGGTCAGCAAGGTCGAGAAATACTTGCCTCAAATAGATCAATTCGAGAATTTCATATGATCTGATGATCCATTCTAGCTCCATTGATAGAACATTCGCATCTTTGGTGTGGAAGGTCCAACTGCCCGCTTAAATTTACAGTTTTTTTGCCGGTTGGCTTATTCACCTGTCCAACTATAGTGAGAATCACTATACAGTAAATCCCAGTTTCCTCGTTGTTTCCAGAATCACTATAAACCCGAATTCACCTCCTTGTTTCCACCAACTTAGCCAACAAACTGGGGCACCAACATGTCCATGTTGCTCTATTGCTGCTGCTATATCCCAAGTATATCCCTATTGTCTGTTGGTAAAAATCACTAGTTATATCATCTATGTTTGGTACCAATCATCTATTTAGGAATTATCTATTAGGGACATTATCTATTGGTAAAAATCCTATCATCTATTGTTTTTTTTCGTAAATCACCTCTTTAAGATAGATCAATCCCGAATTTTGTTGCTGAACTTTCTACAGAAACCGCAGAAGAAAAAAAACGCCTTTGGATCGTTTGATCGTTCGCTCCATGCCTGGCTGTACTCCAACAAGCCCAGCCAGCAGCCTGCTCTGTTGCAAGAAGCCCATTGTTGGTACTGGCGGAAAAAAGTTGTTGATGTTACATATATATATATATAAGTGAAATGGGGAATATAATGTATACATATATATATATAATATCTAACAATGATGATACCCCTATGCTCCATGGTGCACTGGTGCACGATTTCCAGGAAAAAGTGGTGGAAAACATGAGGAGTCCGTGTTTTTTTGGGCAATCCGGTTTCCTGTGAGAGGTCCAACCAAATCAAGCAACGGTTCATGAAATTGGTTTTGGGAAATCTTAGGGAACCCCAAAATAGCAAGTCAAAATCCATGCGGATCTCTGAAATATGTTTCTTTTTTTTACCAATCCATTAAACGTAGTGTTTGAATAGCCTAGTAGCCTCAAACCTGGCAATGGTAAGTCGATGATCTTCCCAGCTACGCTTCATTTCGCGGAAGCCACGGCACGACTCCCGGGACCTTCTTCCTCATTGAATTGAAAGAGGGAACAATCCGCACCTGGCAAGGTCCATCCACGGGATATTAACGGATAGCATGGCTATGAAAAACCTCATGAATTGATGACCATTCGCCAATATAATGAACACATCACTCAACTTACCCAAGTTCTGAGCATGTCACATATCACTGCAAGCTGGGGCCTTGCAAAAATGATGACTGTCTTGGTTGATGTTCACCGCAGATATATCTACCGTACAGGGCGGTGAACCCAAGTTCTAGTTAGGTTTATAATTATACAATGTACAGTACAATGCGTACATATGTAAATATATAGTGGATAATCTATTGAACATATAACTAAATAAGATTAAACAACCTGAAAATAAGGATGTTTTGGGATTCTTTCCCATTACCAATCTTCATTCAAGTGACATCACAGTGAGTTCACTATGATTTATCACATATATATATATAATTATATTTAAATATATATATATAATATATATATATACAGCCAGCTTCTACGTGAGCAAGACTGTGAGCACTTTGATCAAGAAAACATGGGTCATGACCATGGAGATTCACGATGGTGATGAGTCCTCTTCATTGACAACTACCCTCTGGTTATGTCAAAATAGCTATTGAAAATGACAATTTATAGTGAGTTTTCCCATAAAAAATGGTGATTTTCCATAGTTATGTTAGTTTACCAGAGGGTAAGGGTGACAAAGAGCGAAGATGTTGATGATTTTTTTCGTCAGGAACAATGAATGGTGAACTCCTGCGATTTGAAATTACCTCGGGCACTTTGACATAGCTATGGAAGATTGCCCAGTTATAAATAAAAGATATATACATATATATATATACATAATATATATATATATGATTTACCTATTAAAATATGCAAAACGGTGATTTTCCACATTTTTCCACTATCATTGACTGGTGCTTCAGCCGATTGGAGTTTTGGGGATACCTGGGAGGTGGTGATGACCAGGAATCCTGGCGTTGACCATGGAGTGGCCACCGTGCTCTTTTTATCAATCTGTGTGATTTTTTGGGGCGTCAATCCACATTTTTGCGGTTGAATGATGTTAGATGTGTCCATGGTTTATTTGTCAAACATTTATTTTGGGCTATCAAATCATCATTTCTTTGGTCTCTTTTATGGGGCCATTGAAATTTCCCAAAAAATCTCTTCAAACTGGCCATAAAAATCGTGCCGGACCATGGCCGCGTTCAATCCGAAAAAATCCGCACGACCCGTCCCTGTGCGAAGTCCCTCCTGATCGGCAACAAGCCTTTGCCTTGTGCAGATCGTGGGGAACCAAAGCAATGCCAAGTCGTGGGGGGTTTCTCATGGGAGATCCGCCAGTTCCCATGGTTGGGGCTTCGCCTCGCCTAAGTCATGGTCTCATGAGTCCATGACTTGCATCATATGCCTTGGGGTTAGCCCAAAAATCTTAAAAAGTGACCTCCAAAGATCGATTTGTTGGTGCTTTGGGCCTTAGGGGCATCTAGTTGGGGAGGACATTCCAAGCCAATTCTTAAATGGTAATTTGTTGGACGCCAGGAAAGGTGACCATCCGTCAAACATCCAGGGTCTACATGTTTGGAAACTTGGATCACGAACATGGTGTTTAGTTATAGTAATCAAAAAGATAGATAGATAATCTGGTTGGTGGTTGACCTACCCCTCTGAAAAATGATGGAGTTCGTCAGTTGGGATGATGACATTCCCAATATATGGAAAAATAAAACTGTCCCAAACCACCAACCACTATAATTATCATTAAATATATCACTATTTTAGTAGGAGTTTACTTGTCTATCGTCTTCTATCGTTTTTTTTCTTTAATTTGGGTTCAACAAACGCAAGAATTTCTATCCTACTCAGAACGCCAATTCACCGCCAGGTTCGTGGTCGTAGTGGATATCTTCACAGTCACTGAGACTCCAGACAGAGCATATTGTTCAGCCCAAAAAATCACTGGTGGAATCTATGTCACGGTTGGTTTTTCTGGGATTTATACTGGGATTTAGTGAGAGTTCATTGGATTTTACACTAGGTTGTTGCAATTTCATGGGACTTGAGCGGGATTTTTGGATTTCAATGGTTGTTTTAGTGTTTTTTTTCATGGAATTGAAGCAACAAACAGTTGTGTTTTATACCCTCTGGATCCCTCTGGGACGGAGCAGTTGGATGTAGCAAGAATGCACCCTCTGGTTACTTAAACATCCATCTAAAAGATGCCGGAAAATGCTCCATGTCCAGATGACCCAGATTTCATGCTTTACCGTAATTGATGGCCTGGCGATTATCCATAGCTATGTCAAATTACCGGAGGTTTTTTTTTCATCTGCTGAAATCTGTCTCCCATTCTTAGAAAGAATTAAATCGGGAAAGGCATGCCATCAGGCCATGCGTTTTCAAAGTGGCCAAGCACCTGATCTTTCTGGATAGATTCAGAAATAGGTCCTAACCTTGGGTCCAGTTCCAGATCATCTCCAGAGGGGAGCGAAACGAGAACGGCATTTTTTGCTGAAGAACCCCTCTTCGGCCAACCATGGGAGTTACGATGTATCTGAAATATTTTTTGTTGCGAGATTGGCTCACATAAGCTAAAGAAAAATCATTATATCAATGTATAGATCATTTATGATCATTCCCATAGGATCCATGGTGCTGCTATATATGGTAACATGGATCCCATCAATATACCCCAGTCATGTTAGCATACCAGCACCATGGATCCTATGGGATTTATGTCTATAGACATCATCGCTTTATCGCTTCGCGTCCCTAGGGAGATCCCCAGTTCGAATTGGAAAACCCTCAGGTCCCTGGCACAATCGTTGACACTCCGAGCCATCGGCCAAAAGCCTCGGCGAAGTGAAGGAAAAACGGCCGCAAGAAACGTGGCTGGGCTGTGAAAAATGCTTGGAAAATGATGGCTTTATGGCGGGAAACATCGGGAAAAATCATGGTTTATTATGGTTTATTGGTTTCTGATGGCGGAAGAAATCCCAACCCTAGAAACTGGAGAAAGCCATTGGATTCAATCTTGGTTATCCCGTAAAAACAAATCCCCTGAGAGTTGATTAGTGAAGTTTGTTCTTGGGGACAATACTAGAAATGGCTTCTGACTCCGGTAGTGAGTAGTGACTGGATTGCTTGGGGGATAAGTCAAGAAATGATCCTGAAAATTTGGAGAAGTCAAATTCTTGACTGCATCAAAAGGTGTCAAGATGAGGATTTGAACCGGCGAGTCATGGCACACGAATCAATCACCCAACTTTAAACATGCCCTGATTACTTTTGAAATTCTACCAACGAGATAGCTTGGCAAATCTTCTGATTGATGAAACACATACATAAAATTCCGAGCTATAAAAATACGATGTATGAATACTGTCAATATACCGATACGAATGATTTCTTGTACCCTGAAATCTTGGTGCATACGCTGAGGATCAAGGCGCAAAATTTGCATGGCGTTTGAAACATTGACACTAGAAATCGTGACATTAAACACAGCTTGATAAAATGAAACCATACGAAGGGGGGGGTTCTTATTGTTGGGTTTTTTTTAATGTGGCCCAAACTGCCAACCCCGCAATTCCGGAGACCGCTTTTCCCCTAGGCGCCGTTGCACCATGCACGACAATTTAGACCTACAGGTAACATTTGCTAGGAACCTACTGTTGGTGAAAACACATCCCTGCCTGTTGGGATTTATGCGAGATCTGGCAGGAAGTTAAAACTTTGCACCGTTGCGGCCTTTTGCGGCACGGCGGAAACTCGAGACACGAATTTGTGGCACCCTCACAGCAATAAGTACAGTGCACTGAAGACCGTCAAGGTGAAAATCGCTATGATGAAGAAAAGGCTCGTGTAACCAGTCGCGTGAAAGACCTGGATTTACAGTGATGAAAAAACCCTGGCAGCCTGGCATAGGATTGGGACCAGGGCAATTTCATGCAATGTATTCAGAAAACTACCTTCTTTAGCATAGTTGTATCATGTTATTCATAAATACACATGTATATACATTTCTACGGTCGTTAATTTGAGTTGCGTCCTACTTTGGCTGACCTTGGCCATCGAACTGTTAGCTGCGGCTGGTCAAGTCATTGAGGATCATCCCGAAAAAAACCACAGCTTGGCCTCCAAAAAAAAAAACAGACAGACCGTTTGGCTATGGGAAATGATCCATTTATGGATGATGTATCTACCCTCTGTTTATGACTAACATAGCCATGGTATAGATGGCCCATAGAAATAGATGGTTTACCTGGGTTTACCTATTAAAAATGGTGATTTTCCATGGCTATGTTAAATAACCAGATGGTATATTTACCAAAAAAAATATGGTGGTTTTCTATGTTGCTTACATACATGCTATGTCACTATGCTACTATGTTGAACAACCATAGGCTATTCTTGGAGCTTCCCAAGTCTGACCAACAAACGATGTTAATGACCTAGCCAATGAGCAGTTGACAACGGCTCTGAGTAAAGAGAATACCTTCCCTATATGGAGGTTTCCTAAAATGGTGGATCCCCAAAATGATGGGTTTCAATACTAAATATAGTCAATTTTGGATGATTTGGGGGTACCCTATTTTAGGACCCCATATATTCGGGTTTGTCTGAACACGTGGTACTGTGTGTATATATATTATATAATTATATATATATATTATATAGACAATATACTTGTTTGTGTTCACCTTGTTGTTGCTTGTATCACCGGATGTTTGGTGTATATTCCCATGGTTGCTTGCACCTCAAATTGATAAATTGTGTATGTACTTTTTTCCAGGCTGGCCAAATCCTCATCGTTTAGTCTTCATGGTCTATGTTCATGATTGGCATATCGAAATGTTCTTTCGAGCATCCTCCATTAGATTATACATTAAATATTATGCATGACTATACATATGAGATACAGTTGGTGATCTATCATGATCTATCTCCCCCCATCTTTACTAATTGAATCCACCCAAAAGCATCAAGGCGATAAAAAAGGGCCATCCCAGGTATACATGATATCGGCTGCGAAGAAATACCACGCTCTTCGGGATCTTACACATGATACATGTTTACCATTGTTTACCCAGATATATAAATATCCAACGGTTCATTGGTTAATTCATCATTTGTTTATCTCAGTGTTGACTCCAGTGTTGACCATGTTTTGTGGATTTTTATGTTGGTTCAATCACCACTTTTATGGTTCTCTCTTCATTTGTTGAGGATTGCTGGTGGTTTCACTCCATCTGAAATATGCCTACGTGACATATGGATCAAAAAAAGGCACATTTGGTACACCAAAATTGCCGTAAAATTACCAGAAGGTGATCAAAACACCATGTTTCGATAGCTTTCGAACCAGCACCCCTCCACGGCCGCCGGCCTTAAGAACGGGCTCCCAAACTTCGTTGTCCTTGATGCTGGATATGCTGGAGACTGGAGACCAGAATTTTTTGTGTGCTGTGAAAAATCCACTGAAAAACTGAAAAACATCCAAGTATAACAACTAACTCAACTAACCATTTGGGGGCACCCCCATGGACACATGGACACCCTCCTCGTGATTTTTCACCCATCAAAAACTGGATGTGGCCCATCCAAACGGCTCGATGATATCACCAAACAAAAAAAGGGATCACCACGTTGCCAACGAAGGCTCCATGAGTTTGCTAGGGGCCCAGCAGCTGACACAATATATGTTCATTGGTTTCTTGGTGGAGAAAAACGCCGCTTGAAAACGATTCAAGTCAATTGAAGTAGGCGAAACAATCACTTGGAAGAAACTCTTATGTCTGAAAGTCCATTTGAAGTAGGCATCTGAAGCCAGTGGTCAGACAACAGCCTTGTGCCAAAAAAAAGCCAGGCAATGCCTATCCGTTTCTATCGGGTCTCTTAACATACGGGCAGATCCCAATGGGTTGGTCTTCCAGATTCACAATCCGAGGGATAAAACCATCCACGACATTGCTCGAAGTGGGTGGTATATAGCATCAAAAAAGGATGTGGTTGTCTATCCAAATTCTTTCTGGAAATTAGGATTTTCTTCACGACATAAAACGGCACTCTCGCAAAAAAACTGTCTGGAAGACCGAGTTTATCTTTCGCGGGACACAGAACCTAGGGGTCAACATTATGTCTTATGACCGTTAGACTCGGTCACTGCCTGCGAGATTCCCATGGATTGCTCCATGATAGCCTTCTAGATATACGGTAGCATCACAGAACCCCTCAAAACAAATTGTTGCTCCATTTCGTGAGCCTTACTCGCTTGCTGGTGCTAGAATACTACCGTAGATGGACGATGAAATCAAACCCTTGCTGTATTCTTGTCAACCCCCGCACCCCCAAATTTCAATGTGTTCTTTGAGCTGCGCGCTTGGGTCCGGTGGACAAAATAAATCAAACCCTGAACACAGAGGAAGTTAGATAGACTTTTGTTCAACATTGAAATTTGGGGTCTGGGATTTTACTTGGTAAATGTCTGTGGGCTTTGATTTTTTTTCCATCTACCTACTAGTATTTGCACCACCTTCACTGCTCATCTTGATGGGTAAGAGTATCGTGTCATGCCGTCTTTTGGGTGAAACGTCACTGTTTTTTGAGTAGGGTTAATAGAACCCATAGGATCCATGGTGCTGCTATATATGGTAACATTTGGGCCATTTATGGGGTAAATGGTGGTAAATATTCCAGCACCATGGAGCATATGGGTAATGATATATCTAGAATCTATAGTTAACTCCATTTCTCAGCAGCATGGCAGAAATGCCCAAGAGGCAATGTCAATGAACTCCAGGATTCTCTCAGACAGTGGACGCGAGCGCTCCTGGCAGCACAATGTCAGGTGATCACCGTGATCACCAGAAGCGAAGCCACCAAGTCGGAAGGCGTTCAGGATCGTTCAGGTTTCAAATGTCTTCAAACATTCAGGTAAATTATCATATTTCACTAACCTGAATAGTTCGGCCATTTGGGGATGATTCCCCTTACTAACCATGATTTCCAGTGAGGTCGCAATGGATTTCTGTGGACTGCTAGTCCCTTGGATTGAAAAACGGATATGAAAATACTGTAAGATCACCGACGATTTGTCCACAATCCCATGGGATTCTCCACAGAAGATCATGGAGATATACCGATATTAACCCGGCCTGGTAATGACTAACAGTTCGCTATTGAACATGGCCCAGTCGAAATTCGAAATAGTGAGTTTTCCCATGAAAAACGCATGGTGGATTTTTCCATAGTTATGTAAACGTTTACCAGAGGGTACCCCCATTTCATGACGCCTCCATTATATCCAATTACAGCCATGTACTACACCATGAATAGTCAGTTGGGATGATTTTCCATTCCCAACTGTTTCTGGAAAGTCATTCAAAATTCCATGGTTCCAGTCACCACCAACCAGATATTTCATTAACCACTATTAACCACTATTAACCACTATTAACCACTATATTGGGAAACCACTATTCTTGTTCCAGTCACCACCAACCAGTCATGGCGATATAACCAACCAGTAATCGGACCTCCATGGCGAGTTCGGGGATAGCTTGTGTTTTTTCGAAATACGCCCGCGGTATCTGAATATGTGGTAAACCCAATCATAGTTGGGATATGTTGGGAGAACATCTATAGTTGGTTAGTTATAATAACTTATTAACCATGAATATCCTCCCTTCAAAATCCCATTGAATCCATATGAAATCACCATTTATAGATGAGTTCTACCTACCATGACTGGGCATGATCAACCACGTCCGCCGATTTACGACGTCCCCGCATGGCACCGTGACGGTGGAGTCGAAGTGCCAGCGGTGAGGGACCGGAAAGGGTGGGCCGTCGTCCACGTATCTGACGGAAGCAAAGGCTTGGAAAACCAAACGAGAAGCTGAGCAGTGTGCATATTATATATATATACCCGTAGGATCCATGTATGGTATATATGCTAACATTTGGGGTATATTGATGGTAAATGTTACCATATATAGCATACATGGATCCTATGGGATATACCATCTGGTTATTTAACATAGCCATGGAAAATCACAATTTTTCATAGGTAAGTCATCTATAAATGGGCCATGTTCCATGGCTATGTTAAATAACTAGAGGGTATGTATATATATATACTATATGTAATGTGGGAAAAACAATAAGGAACCACCCATGACTGGGAATGGTAAACATACCACCTATAAAATTGTGAAATTGGGCATGTTTTATTATTGTTTTACCAACATTATATGTGCTATATGGTTTGAAATATGTGAATATCATGTGTACAGTATGTATATTTGTATTATATGAATAATAGAATGTATGTAGAGTACATATATTACACAATATCATACATACTAGCATGTGATATATGAATAATATGCAAATAACATAGGGTCGGTATATGTATAGTACATTGATAATATACAGATAATTGGATAATTAGTCGGATAGAATATGCAAAAACTGGATGGTAATTTCTTGGCATCTGCCGTAACCAGCCAAAAACCAGTTGTCAACAATCTTGACAACCATATGGTGGTTTCCATAAATGGGGGATACTGCAGATACCCCAATAGCTGGATGGTTTATAATGGAAAATCCTATGAAAAAACTGATGATTTGGGCGTAGCCCTATTTTAGGAGACCTCCATATGGTAAATAGAGGATACCACAAACCCGGCACGGGACCTGTCAACACTAAAATATACGCACTCCAATTCAGTTGGGGATGATTGGGGATGTGTTTTTTGGTTGTTTTTTTCCGGAAACACCCAGATTGGCAGATCCACAGATCCACAGATTCAGATTTTTCGTGCCCCCATTTGTGAAAAACCCCTTCTAGACCTAGGATTTAAAATCCGCCCATGGATTATTCCATATGAAATTCCCACGCATGGATCCACAGAAAACGGGCATCCGGACATGATTCGACCATGGTTTTTCGACCATCGAAGGTTTTTGGGTCACTTAAATTTGGTGGCGATCCATGGCGCCACATGGGCAAAGAATTCCAAGTTTGTTGGCAATCCAAAAAAAAACGAGTAGGATATTAGGATGTTGCTTCAAGAAATCGACACCGTTCACGGTGAAATACGGTGAGTTTTGTTGGCCTATGGCGAGGTCCACGATGTCGATGCCTATCGTGGGCAACGGGTCATAGAGGCTATATCGCAATTTATGATATCACCATAGTGAGCCCAAAAAAAGCAGTGGAAGCTAGGGAAATATTACCCTAAGAATTGGCTTCGTTAGCAAGGCTTGGGATATGAATGGATTTACTTAGCTGGGTGTTCGAAAGTTTGCTTTAAGCCGTCAAGAATTGGATTTTCTACGGAGTTCATCAACAGAAAAAATCCGACGACAAGAAAATCGGTTTGTCCAAAACTAGGGTGTACCCCCATGGCCACGGCTATGTTGGGATTTGGGGATTTGGGGGTATCCTATTTTCAGACAAAGCCAGGATTCAGGGATTCAGCGATTCCCCAAAAATTTCTGGGAGATGATGGTACAGCTATAGCATGATTTACTAATGGTCAGTGGGAAAACATGTTATACAAAACATGACCTGGTTTGGAAGCTTGTGACAATACACATCATATTTAATCCTTGGGTAGATTTGGCAAATCCCCAAACTGATTACAATGCCCAAAAGTTGAGTAGATTTCGTAAATCCCCCGACATTCTTCGATAAGTCCCAATGTAAGAATTCCGAAACTCATCCAAATAAATCAATGTTCAAAAAACTCAGCAACCGTCATGCAAATCAGTTAGATCCACTTATATCAATCTAACAATTCCCCATATTTAACCTCTGGTAAACTAACATAACTACGGAAAATCCCAATTTTTAATGGGTAAATCAACTATAACTATAAATTGCCATTTTCAATAGCTTTTTGTATGTTTACCAGATGGTAATCCTCGAATATTTACCAACATTTGCCCTTGTCCAAAATCACCCAGTTTTGTAGCTAAATATACCAGCACCATGGGTTGCATATGGGATATAGATATTTCCATGATATTCCCATGATATTCCCATGATATATAATATATCTATATCTATATACTGTATCTATAGGATATTTAATCATCAAACTCCTCGTTCCGTTTTTCAGCCTCACGCGTCTGAGCCCCCGGAGTTCCAAGCGATGATGGTGCCGGTGGGGGACCTCCCACCTGACAGGAGCGGAGCGGAGCATCCCCGGAGCCCCCCGTTCGTTCGTTGTTGCGTTCAGTTGCCGAACTGAAAAGGTGGCTGAATTCGATTGGGTTTAGGGTAGATATAACTAGATATAGTCAATGGGTTCATGGTTTATAAACCAACTTATAGCTGGGGGGGCCCATCCTGTAGGGAATTATATATGATTAGATGGGTAAACTTGGTAGACTCAGCCCATTTTCGTATTAATGTTGGTAAATCCTATAGTTGGGTAAGACAAGAATCAGTGGATTGGTTTTAGGAAAAATTGAAAGCAGAAACACCCATATTTAATGGTAAAAACCATGGTTTCCGGTTAAGATTTTCCCTTAAACCAATCCATTGAGATACGGGGGGTTCCTTAAAAGTGAGGGATCCCAAAAAAAAAAGTTTCAATACTAAAACTGAAGCTAGTTTTGGATGATGTGGCGGTCCATTTTAGGAAACCTCCTGACATGGATTTTCGTCAAGACCCTGGCACCCGGATGGTACCCTAAGATAGCTGGTTAATGTATGTCTATTCCCAAAAAAATGGGAAAAATAAAATTTGACCCATTCCCATATTTGCGATTTTCCAGAAGGGGAGGTACCCTGAAGCCATGGTTGTTTCAATCGCAACATAGTCTTGGATGATTCGAGGGTCAATATTGTTGATATATCATGTGTACTGTATAAATATATATATATATGTTATAATCATATCTGCGTACAAATGCTAAATAGAGTATTTTGGCAAAATGGGGGACACAATTTTAATCATCCAGTAGTTCAGAGAATAATTACCCTAGATTCTTAGAAACCCCAAAAGTCCTGGAATTCGTGGAAGGGGAAATTTACAGCAAACCCCTATTTTTGCGGGCAACGAGCATGGTGTTTCGACCTGCAATCGATGTCTTGAATTGGCACCAGCAGATTTCAAAAATACAAAAAAAGACGTGGAAGACGTCACCTACTTCAGAATTACCCTGTGACATTCAAACATGGTGTGCTGGAAAATCCACCATTAATGATTTTCCAGCTAGCAATGGCGAGTTTCTATCGGATTCTAGTTCCTCTCGGGCGATGTGTGATTTTCGGATGGTATGCAGTGCTGGTTGGTGGTTTCAACCCCTCTGAAAAATATGAGTCAGTTGGGATGATTATTCCCAATATATGGAAAAAAATGAAAAACATGTTCCAAACCACCAACCAGAGTGGTAATTTTGTGTCGGACACCGCTCTACTTCTTCCGAGTTCAGAAGCTTCACAATCCACTGGCAGCTGATGGCAAATTGCCCTTGAACCATTCGAATCCTGAGGTATCTCAGAGTGGAATATAACATGCTTCCATTTATATCATTGGCTAAAACATGCTAGAAGAAACATTCAACAACCCTTCAACAACTACTCAGAAACCATTGAAAACCATTACCCTCTGGTAATTTAACATAGCTATGGAAAATCGCCATTTATAGTTGATTTACCCATTCAAAATGGTGATGTTCAATAGTTATGTTAGTTTACCAAACCATTAATTGACAACCACTAACCAGACGGCTTACACAGCCACAAGCCGAACGCCGGACCCTAGAGGCATCCGAGGCACAGTTCAGGTTCTTCGTCGGAGATCTGGACCCAGTTTCGGGAGGGTGATGTCCCAGTTCGAAAGTGGTTAATCAACTGAGTAGTATATGGAATATATGGGCTAAATATGCGGAATTACAATGGTAATAAATGGTAATAAAATATTCAAGAAACTGTTTCAGAAACTGGGTTCCTTGGGATACCTCAGTTTTTTTTTACATGGAATATCCTCAGTTTTATATGAATTGTATGTGGGTTATGGTAATTTTTAAGCGCTTCCTTCCTGTGATGCCAGATTCATACCATAGGAATGCCATACTGGTGAAACCCATTAACCTTGCGGTCATCAAATATGGCTGGCTGGTACATCCCCCATAGATGGACTGGTTAGTCATTCACTTATTAACCATTAATATCCTCATTAATATCCCATTAAATCCATATCAAATCATCCTTTTATAGATGATTTCTAATGATTTCATGGAAAGAAAACATCTATTCACTATTCATTCGTGGATGTTCAAGCCATGTTTGATTAACGGATGGTAAATCATCAGTTGAGGGTTGAGGATTTGGGGAGAAAAGAAACAAACAAACAAAAAAACATCAGACGGTCGAAGCACAACAGCTCTCCAGTCGAATGTCGTGAGTGGCGGTGCTGATGAGGTAAACCCAATGCCATAACCCATTCACCAACCATGACTGGGTGTCATTTTATATCAGCCCAAATAAGGGTATACCTATGTATACCTATGTATACCTATGTATACCTATGTATACCTATGTATACCTACGTATGTATAATATCTGATCGTGGGGTTGGTTTTTTTCTCATTGGCGAATTTTCACATCTTTGACCGTCACTCCCCTCACCAAGCCCGGCAAGGGGAGATGATCTCCCAGTGATCTTTATGAACATCCCGTCGATTTTCCGACAAGAAGATGGCAGAGTTCAACCAAAATCTTGCTTCGCTTGGGGGAATGACCCAAGAGATAGCTGTACTCCTTTTCAAGTATCCCAGTTTACTCGGTAAATAAGGATCGCATAACCCAATGTATGGGGAAAAAAACAGTTATATGGGGTGTAGACCAGGTATATACGATTCCTGGGATGAACATCATGTCTTCATGTTATCACATTGTAATTGTATGCCCAAATGATTGATGGTTTAGTCCGTTTTGTTGGCGTTACATATATATATATATATATGGGGGGGGTCCATAAATGGTGCATCCCAAAATGGTTGATTTATAATGGAAAATCCTGTTCAAATGGATGATTTAGGGGTACCCCCATTTCAGGAAACCTCCATATGTTATTTATATATTATTATTATTATTATCATTATTATTACTATTATTATTATTACATATATATATATATATAAATGTATATATATATATAATTATTTGGGTCATAAACCACAACCACGATGCCTGGCACATCCAGGTTTCACAGCCCGGCCTGCTTCCATGGTTCACTACCGCTATGACCTTGATGCACGCAGCTGGTAGGGTTCTTTCAGACATGAGCCGTTCGCCTTTTGATACTTCTTCAACAGCTTCATTTTTTCTCGGTTTGTGACTACATTGTGTCATAAGTTATATAGTAGTATGTATGTAGTATATTTATAAATAATTATGTATATACCATCTGGTTATGACTAACAGTTTGCCATGGAAAGATCCACCATTTTTCATAGGTAAACCATCTATTTCTATGGGCCATCTATACCATGGCTATGTGGAAAGCATGTCTCTGTTGCCAAGAAATCCACCGCGGTTTTCGCAAAGCTAAGGCTCACAAGGTAGGAACCCTGTCACAGCAGATACCCTCTGGTTATGTCAAAATAGCTATTGAAAATGGCCATGAATAGTGGATTTTCCCATGAAAAATGGTGGATCTTTCCATAGCTATGTAAACGTTTACCAGAGGGTATTGACAGATGAATCCGCACTCAGAACTGCAGCTGAGATGCTCCCCGCTTCACTTACGCAGGGCTCATTTTCAACATCAGCGCTCACATCCCTTGAGGACGCTTGAGCATCATCAGTTGTACCTGCACCAAAGTGGGGTAGGATCGCCGTGTGCATTGGTCAAATCAACAAATTTCTTGTTAGTGAAATCCACTCTTACGTTAGATCCTAATTCATAGATGTTAAATCAACGTCCCCATGTGTTCATGATGAAATCAACATTGCAAACGAAATTCAAATTGAGTAAGTTCCACCGGCATAGCTATCCTCTGGTAAACTAACATAGCTATTGAAAATGGCAATTTATAGTGAGTTTTCCCATTAAAAATTGTGATTTTCCATAGTTATGTTAGTTTACCAGAGGGTAAATCATGCTAAACATCCCAGTTTTCTGGTGTTTTTGCAAAAAAAGATCCAAATTTTCATGTTGGTCAATTTGCTGATGATCTCTTCCCTGTGCATCCCAGTTTTCCCATGATTTTTCCACATAGTTTCATCCCACCCGGGGTCTTGGAAACTACTGTCGTCGGTAGGCTACATGTTCAATCGTCATCTTCCCAACTACAGATATTAAAAAAAAAACTTGGGCATCTCCTATGGACCGAATTTTGCCGGGATACATCTACTTTTTGGGCGGAAAAAGAAGTTCTTTTCAAAGTCCCCAAGTAAACCCATGAATAAAAAGGTCCCATTGTTGCTTGTCAGATTGTTAGATCCTCACGGTTCATCACATAAAGCCCAATTTCTTATGGTAGGGGGAAATCTCATTTTCCAACCAATCGTTGATCATTGTTCATGGTCTAACCCTATTCAACCGTATCACCCACCATGCCCTATCAAAAATCACATGTGTTTTTTCATTTCTGCTAATGATGAATGAAATTCACCCATTTCTGGTGTATTTTCCAGCCTAAATCCTCGTGTTGGTGGGGAACTTTACAACCTACCATCAGTACCCATCTAAAATCATCGTCATTCCCTCAAGCAATGCGTTTCGGTGCTCTTAAGTTTTGATAATTTATACCATTCATCCAGTTCACTACCAGTCATGAGTCAGTAAGTCATCCCACTTATGGAATGATAAACCCCATTTACAATGTCATCCATGCAGTAAAATATAAGTAATGGGCAATACTATAAAGCTCTGTATCTGTTTCTAATTCCCATTTATAATCCAATTATAAGTCAGTCATAATGGAATTTAAAGCTATAAAAATACCTGGTTTCTAAGGTTTCAACCAAATTTGTTAGATAATAGTTTTCAACAAGACTTGTTGGGTGTTCTAGGGTTTACTTATAAGAGTTACCCTCTGGTAAACTAACGTAACTATGGGAAATCATCATTTTTAATGGGTAAATCCACTATAAATGACCATGTTCAATAGCTTTTTGTTTGTTTACCAGAGGGTAATTCCCAAAACTGTTTTTTAAGGCCATTTACGGATGATTCTCCACGATAATCCCTTCGCCCTTCTATTAAACACCCCCCAGAAATCATGGTAAAATCCCTCCGCCTGTGGCGGTGCTTGTCCCCGAGTTCTCCGCATCTGCTATGTCGTCGCTCGGCGCTACGGGGTCGATCAAGGCTTTACCGTCGGCCAATGTCAAGGCCTTGGCCTTAGTCCGTGTGGCGAATCCCCCCAAAAAATGGATGTTTTAATGGGAAAACCACAAGGAAAACGTGGGAAATATACGGGACATCACCGGCAAAATATGGAGGTTTTATGGGAAAAGTCATGGAACTAGGTAAAAAAAGGAGGGGGTGAATATATGGAATGGAATATCATGGGATAGATAGATAGATAGATAGATAGATAGATAGATAGATAGATAGATAGATAGATAGATAGATAGATAGATACATAGATAGATAGATAGATAGATAGATAGATAGATAGATAGATAGATAGATAGATAGATATATGGATGGATTGATGGATAGATAGATAGATAGATAGATAGATAGATATATGGATGGATGGATTGATGGATGGATGGATGGATGGATAGATTTTGGAGATTATAGGGATATCTAATGAAATATACTGGTGATATTCACGCGGATATACCTTCCGGTGTCATGTGGTGATCGCTCAGAAATCCCGAGCGAAGAAGGAGGTTTCTAGCTGGGAAAATCGTCCAACTAAGGTTTGAAAAATATGTTTGAACGGGGATCACTCACATCGAAAATGAGTTTTTGAGGAGACAACAAAACTTGGGCAGTTTTGCGGAGCCCCTAATAAAGTGGGATATTGGGCACAACTGTTCAACTATGGTGAAAAAAACATCACTTATCACTGGAACTGCACTCCACACATGTCTGGAAGGGATCTAAAGAGATATACGAGAGGTGTTGCCCGAGTTTGAAAACTAAGTTGCATTTCACTATAGGTGACTTAAGGTGTTATGCTTAGCGACATAGATATATATATATACATATAATGAAAGCCACATGACTCAACCCACCATGGAAGTGATAATCAATCATTGTCCCAGTGCTAAAATGGATCATTGGGATTTGCTGGGCACAAACAAAACACCTCTATATATAATTGTATACATATATATAATAGATATATATATATAATAGATATATATATATAATATATATATATATTGATATATATATATATAATTCGTGGATGATCCTGCAAGTATGGGTCAGTTTACCTTGTACCCCTTCTGTTCACACCAAAATAGCTGGGATTTATGAATGTTCACCACCCTCAAAATTATGGTACTATTCGCTTTTGATCCATACCCTCATTGCAAAGGATACTAACAAGCAGTGTTCAAAACCCTTGTTGGTGGTTGGTGATTGTAACTGGCAGTAAGCAACAAATGGAATGACAGAGGCCTTTGAACGCTGCTCACATAGTCATCAACATCGCACACCTCTGGTAAACGTTTACATAACTATGGAAAATCACCATCGTTAATGGGTAAATCCACTATTTCTATAGCCATTTTCAATAGCTTTTTGTTAGTTTACCAGAGGGTAACCCACCGGGCCGTTCAGCTCCGAAACAGCTTCTTCGTTCGTCCCGTTCATCCGCACGTGCAAAAAGAGTTCCAGCGTGGCAAGGGCATCGCCTGCGCCACGGTAACAGCAAAGTGGGATGTCTGGGGACCCACCAAGTGGTTGGTTCATTCGGGGGTTTCCATAGTCATGGGGGTACCCTCTGGTAATTTGTATTAATTTGTTACAGTTTGCTATTGAAGATGGTGATTTGTTATGTAAACGTTTACCAGAGGGTACCCAAAATGGATGGTTTATAATGGAACATCCTATTCAAATGGATGATTTTAACGGGGTACCCCTATGACTTAGGAAATCTCCATAAAAGGGCGGTTCAATAAATTTGATCCATACCCGCTGGCTCAAAACCCCTGGCTAATTGGATTGGTTACTCGACTGGAACAACATGTTGTTTAAATACGTTTAAATCATGAAATGCAGCTGCTTTGTCTCAGTTTCTTCCCTTGATCCACTTCTAGAATTGTGCAAAAATCCATCACACTTAGCGTGTTTTTTCAGCATTCCAAGATCCAGGATCTAGGCACTTCGGATGTCTCCAAGATGAATTGCTAGACCCTGAGTCAGGATCGATGAGTTCCTTAATCTCAAATAGTGATGTCATCTGTTAAACTGGGACACCCCATGATCCACAGCCCATGGGTCAACATCAGCTAACAGTTGTACTCTGATTAACATTGCACGTCCCAAATAGAAAAACATGTGGAGGTGGGATCCATTTTCTACTGATTTGCCTACTTATCAGACTTATCATGAAAAATTCTTGTGCAAAGCAATCAAGCAGTGGATACCCTCTGGTAATTTAACATAGCTATTGAAAATGGCCATAGAAATAGTGGATTTTCCCATTGAAAATGGTGGATCTTTCCATAGCAAACTGTTAGTTTACCAGAGGGTACTCGATGTGGTCCAAAACCAAAAAAATCACCCATTCTCAAATTTCGACGTGTTTTCTTCAAACGCCATCTCCAAAAGTCAGGTCCAACTAGTCCAACTCCCTGAAGCCACCTGATGGATCTACGAATCTACGCTTTCTGGGACGATGAAATCTTGGAAATTATGGATGAATCTGAATGGTTAAATCCCAATTAGTATAAATTATAGATGATTCATACTATTCATATAAATTGAATCATATAAATTTTTAATCAATTATTATATCCAAAATTGGAAAATAACATCATCCAATTCATCCAATCCATCATCCAATCTGGATGGTTTTAACCATCCTAGTAACCACTTAAGCAGGTCACTTCTAAATCCTCCCATTGCTAGGGGTATACCCGGCATACCCACTTAAAAATAAACACCAATTGGGGATAGTTGAGATTAAAGTTCTCCCATAATCATCCATGATAATCCCATCATTATACGGTTAATATTCTATATATATATATATCCTACTATAGTTACTATATCCATCCAAAAAAATATCCCATAAATATCCCATTTTTTTAAAAAAAAAAACATAAATATCCTCTAAATATCCTACGTATAAACATCCCACTATCCCAATGATTCTTGGCCCTCCCAACCATCCCAATCCCAATCATCGAAACCAGGACCGCGCTTCCGGCGGTATGTGCCGGGCCGAGGCGTCTCAGTCCGTGCGAGCCCAGCAGAGCATCCTCGGGATGGCTTTTTTCTGGGCTTCCCCAACGAATACATAGATTCTCTATATCACGATATTATATAGATTACATGTATATACAGTATATATATATATATATTATAGATTATGTTTATATATTATACTTTTTTTGATATCAATTATATTATACTATACTATACTACATTATGTTATATTACACTATAGATAGATGATAGATTATAGATGAAATAAAATTTATGTATATAGATTACATAAGAAATATGTTTATATGTTTTTTATATACATGTAATTTAGTCTATATATAAATAAGCAGTGTTCAAAACTCTCCGTCATTCAAATATATTGGTTGGTTCATAAGGATTTCCAGTTCATGGATGATGCAATCTCCCCAAAAATAGTAGCATTGTGGCTGGTAGCATAAGCCCCACGAATTGAGGGCATTTGGAGCACTAGTACACCATCAAAATGATCATTGAAGGTGGGAGATTGATGAGAAATCATCAAATTGCGTGGTAACCGATTGTCAGACAAACCCATGTCATATACAGTCTTATACAGTGTATATATATATGTGACGGCTTTTGTTTGGTGAAGCAGTGGTCTTGGGGCGAGGCCAGGCCCTAGAAACTTAGTACGGATTTTGGAACGAGCGTGAGGAACAGCCCGTCGATGATATACTTTCGGCGGCTCAACTATATATTTCCCTATATGGATCCAGCCATACCTTAGGAAGTATGACTGGGGTATGATTTAGGAAGCACCTTCTCAGACAGTGGCCATGGATCAATAGGCTTTGAGCAGTGGCTACTAAACCATGCTAAACCTGTGTTGCTTGATGATTGGTGTGTGGAGCCCCGAGGTTGGATTCTATCTCCAGTATTGGTCGGTCGATGACTCCGATCAAGAAGTGAAATTCGATTCGTTCACATAATCATTCATTAAAATACACATTCTCCATTCAATGGATTGGTTTAAGGGAAAATTTGAACCGGAAACCCCGATATTTAATGGTAAAAACCATGGTTTCCGGTTTAGATTTTCCCTCAATCCAATGACTGGATCCATATCATATATGGAGATGTTACTCTCCAAACTAACATGTTGCTATGGACACAAAATGACAAAGAGTTCGGTGATGTATCGAGTCAAGATGGTGATGGATGTCCATGGCAAAGTGTTAGATTACCAGAGAATATACCCAAGGCTGTATGATAGTTAATGTATGGATATAGCTGATGAACTTACAATGTTTCTATTAAAAAAAAAAACAGAATCAGCTAATACCTTGGGTATAAATTTTGACATTTGCTGATTTATTGCTCATCATTTTCATGGGATACTGTGTTCCCAAGTCCTGCATGAAGCCTCATGGAAATACCCTCCGCCGTGTGGAGTACAAGGCTGCTGCCCCGAACGTTATGTTTATTTATTGGTTTATAAAGCCCATGAACTATAGTCAAAACAGCTATAAACCATAGTGATCGGAGATATAAACTAACTTAGCTATCTTGGGGGCACCACCTTGTATGGAACGTCTTTGACGTGCGATGTTCGAGGTAGTCTTCCTCCACAAGACCAAACACATGGGTCGCTACGTCCCGAGCGCGGCTTCTAGAAATTCTGCGAACCCACGAACGCTTCTAAGCTCTGATCCACACAATTCTCGCTGAAACATCGTCAAGTAAACTGGTTGCTTAAGAACGGGATGCCCCTAGTAGATTATCATAATCCCCAATATACATATATATATATATACATATGTATATTATTATATATAGACATATATATGTATATACAGATATATATATATATACGTATATGTATATATATATATATGTATATATATACATATATATATATATAATATACGTATATACGTATATATAATATACGTATATACATATATATATATTGGGTAGTAGAATCCCCGAACTTAATCATCAGCCCTGCCAGGGCTTTAGCAGCTACTGCTCGTTTGTAAACATCGCTGTCTTTGGGGCGAACGATGGATCGTTCCAGCTGAGGAAGCCCTGAAATCAGAGGTTCAGCTGGGGCTTTCAACTGCCAGCATATGGGGATTTCCATAAATGGGGGTACCCAAAATGGATGGTGTGTAATGGAAAATCCATCTATAAATGGATGATTTGGGGGTACCACTATTTTTAGGAAACCACCACACAGCAAGGGCAAATCTAAGGAGTGGGATATTGCCGTTATTAGTACTTCTAGATACAATATAGAATCCGCTAATGCCTTGGCGTAGGAATAATTATATATATATGTATATATGCATTGCTTATTCTATACATATATATAATATAATATAGTGTTGATGGTGTTTAGTTCAGATAAATAACAATCTAAGATACCCTCTGGCAATTTAACGTAGCTATTGAAAAGGGTCCAGCTAAATCGTGCGTTGATTTTCTTGTTAAACTTGTGATCTTCCATAGCAAACGTTTTGTTTACCAGAGGGTATTCTCATATATTACCTGATATTACTATTATAGTGAATATATATATATATATATTATTATATATTGCTACTAGAACTAAGTACTAGAATCTATAAATATATAACCGTATTTTTACTAAAAAAAAATGTTACTATCGTTAAAAATCAACCAAAAGTAATTAGCCCATCATTCCATTCTTTTCTAGTTGGTTTTGTTTGCCTATGTGTTTTCTATATCATGATCACAGAGATATGACCCCTACTAGAACCTGATTACTAGAATATAATACATATATATATATATATAATGAGTTTTCTACCAATAATCAACCGACAATAATCAACCAACAATAACTGGTTGGTGGTTTCAACCCCTCTGAAAAGTATTAGTCAGTTGGGATGATGACATTCCCAATATATGGAAAAATAAAATTCATGTTCCAAACCACCAACCAGATATAACCAGATTACCAATAATCAACAATAATTAACCGATAAATAAATAAATATCTAAATTCCCAATATGATGGGAAAGAGCAATAATGTACAGCAGTGGCAAAAAGCTCCAATCCCGGTGGAGATGGAGAAGAGATTTCAGGAAACAGTCTGATAAACATGTTACTGGGGCTTATAAACCATCTTATAACCAATAATATACCAATAATCAACAATAATTAACAAAAATAACCATTTTTGATGGGAAAATCCATTATCAATGGCCATTTTCAATAGCTATGTTAGTTTACCAGAGGGTAATTACCTTAGTAAAACGACCATTGCTGGTCCAAGGCTCCAACGACCCCCGTGGCAAGAGATCCCGCAGCTCTTTACGTGTGGGACACAAGGTGGACAGCAACTCATCCTGGTGTGTCATGATGATGATGACTTAAGCTTCAACAAATGGGGAGTTAATATGACTTAATGGAGTTGAATGAGGTTTAATGGGAGATGAAAGGGGAATTAGCAGGATTGCATAGGAAATCATCGAACTTCTTTGTGATTCAACGTAGTTTTTTTATGTTTTTTTCACAATTGAATCATGAAACTTATAATTAATCCGCCATCTCATTGGATTTCTGTATTCGGTTGATAAGGAAACCCCTGGGCCATGGGCCAATTCATCATGCCCAATCATCCCAGGGCTATCCCTCCAAAAACATCCCGTATGTGGATCCATAGGGAAAGAATTTTCGGGAAACTTCCTCATAACATGATCTTTGACGAATGATGAAAAAATATCTTGGGGATACAACCAGTCAACTAGCTCCACCCCCATGAAGATCATGTAGTTTAGTTTGGGGTAAAGGTATTACCCTCTGGTTCTTTCAGATAGCGAAAAGTTGGACCATAGCTATGGAGGATAAAAATGATGAGAAAAACCTCTGAAAAATTCTTCCGTAGCTACGTTGAATTATCAGAGTGTATTAATACTGTACATGTTTATGAACAGCTAATTTAATTTGATGTTCACCTTGTCTATTTTTTTCGTATACACCGACAATTATAAATTATAATACGCATTGTTACAATTGTTGTCATCATTCCAAATGGATCCAAATGGTACAATAACATCAAGGTGCTGTCAATCGCACGTTTGTCTCAAAATACAAAAAGCCAAATAGTTACAAATATCCCAAACATAATTAAAACAATGAGCATTTGATTGGCTCTTTCCAGCAAACGTCCCTTTCTGAATGTAAAATATGGTCACCCATCCAAAGCTGATTTGCTCGGTGAAACCACTTCTGGGAGTGGCGAAAAAATAATGTAAAATATGTTAACCCACAAGGGATGAATGTCAGTCTGGTATGTTATTGTAAAAGTAGTCATCTATGGAATGATATTATACTGGTTGGTGGTTTCAACCTACCCCTCTGAAAAATGATGGAGTGAGTTCGTCACTTGGGATTATTCCCAACTGTTTCTGGAAAGTCATACTCCATTCATGTTCCCCACCAACCGATGTTAAGACTTACCAAATTTAACGAATTTCGATTCATTGAATTCCTTACCCCAGTTTTGACATGGGATGGCCCCTCATGACACAGAAACCCTCTTTTGTAAACTAACATTGTTAATATAGAAAGCCGTGGCCCCTTGATATTTTCTAAACGCTAAAAACGTTTATCAACGTTGGACATGTTCCATAGTATTTGCTGTGATTCACAGTTAACTCCACATGGGGTTACCTAACTTGGTGGAACCAACGCTAAACGCGAAAAAAACATTGGGAGAGGCCTCCGCCGTCGAATGTAACGCTTAGATCCTCATGTTTTCGACAAATCTCCATGTTCTTCTTGATCCAACGCTGGTTTTGTGGGTCAAGTTAGCATGCCTGGTAGTTTGCACCATAGGGTCTTTTGTTCGTAAATGGATGTTCATCCCTTCAAATATGGCATAGGTTTTGATTCATCCCCACTTCCCCGTCTTTCTGGATAATAACTCGAATTCCTCAACCATATCCGGAAGGCCATTTAAGGGAGTAACGTTACCCCAAAAACTAAGCATCAACTTTAAGCTGCAGTTACTTTGAAAAATGATCCATCTTTGATCAAACCCTGGAAAACGTCAAGTGACAAAGGCATTGATGTCGTACGGCATCGGGTTGCCTGTCACCTGTGAGTCCGAATGGCCAATCTTAGATGACCTGCCAGTTTTTGCCTTGAGCTGGTTTGAAATGTATACAAATAATATATTAGTGTAATACAACAAATATCTAGGTATGTATATATACATAATAATAAGAAGAAGAATAATAATAATAATCATCATCATCATATGTATATATATATATATATATTTATCACTATATTACAAATAAATATATATATATATATACCGTATGCCATTTATGGATCCCCGAAGTTTACCCAGTCTCAGTATCATCCCAATGTGGGAGCTGTTCAACATACGCGGCCTGGTAAACGTTTAGAGTTTGCTATTGAAAATTGCTATGGTTGATTTATATAGCCATTAAAAAGGTTGATTTTCCAGTTCGTTATGTAAACGTTTACCAGAGGGTATTTTTGGGGTTGAAGCCATTTATAGTGGATTTACCCATTAAAAAGGTTGATTTTCCAGTTCGTTATGTAAACGTTTACCAGAGGGTATTTTTGGGGTTGAAGCCATTTATAGTGGATTTACCCATTAAAAAGGTTGATTTTCCAGTTCGCTATGTAAACGGTTACCAGAGGGTATTTTTGGGGTTGAAGCCATTTATAGTGGATTTACCCATTAAAAAGGTTGATTTTCCAGTTCGCTATGTAAACGTTTACCACTCTGGTAATCTGTTGATGGTCACAGAACGCTAGTTGAAGCCCACTAAAAGGTGATCGTCACAGAGGAAAACCCCATGTCCAATCCCGTTGACAGCCGTTGCACTTACCCTCTGGTAATTTAACATAGCTATTGAAAATGGATGAAAATGGCCCAGTCGAAATAGTTGATGTTCATTGATTTTCCCATGGAAAAACGCCATGGTGGATCTTTCCAGTTCCTTGTGTCAACGTTGACCAGGCCGGGTAATTTAAGTTCCTGTGTTTCCAGTGGATCAGTTTCGATCTACCGCCGGCAATCTGCCGATCTGCGGATCCAAGGGATCCAAGGCACCAGCTTCAGGAGGTAGCCCCAATCATACCAGCCCGAGAAGGTGACCCACTCAGGGCTGTTGCGATGCATCCCCACCAGAGGCGACCGAGACAACCTGGACGGAGAACGGAGAGCTTCACCCAAGGGCCGGCGAGGGGTTCGGAGGACCGGAACCCCAAAAAAACAACGGGAAAAACAACGGAGATCCAAGGTATGTAAGCCTGGTGTGTATACCTTGGTGCTGTGATTTTCGAAATCTAAGGGAATTTCACCATGAGTTGGGATGTAACAATTTGAGCCCTGTAACTATGGTGAAATCCATCCGCTTGTATGAACTGAATCCCGACCTTTGGTTCTGATGAAGAAGCTCTTAGGTTTTCCTATCTGGGCAAATGCTTATGGGGAACTCATAAGTCACCTGAAATAAGATCAATAAGTCCATTTTGGACTAGCTACATTTACCATCTGGTTATTTAACATAGCCATGGAAAATCACCATTTTTAATAGGTAAACCATCTATAAATGGGCCATTTTACATGGCTATGTTAAATAACCAGAGGGTATAATTCCCAGCATTTCCAGTGACATCCGCCAGTGGCAATCATTGGAACGTCCCAAGTCCGCCGCGAAACTTCCAGGCCAGGGTGGATGGCTCGATGCCCTCCACGGCATGTCTGGGGAAATCGACACCGGCGGCTTGGAGGAACCTCACGCTGTCCTGGAGGAATTTGTTGAAGCTATGAAATTGAAATATAAATGGGGGCTTAATAGTAATTTTTGGGATGTAGTGGAGATAAATTGCATTTGATTGGCTTTTTTATGTTAGTTTTTGGATTTAATGGGAAATAGAACCTAGTTGAGGTGATTTTAGTGTGAAATCCCTTATAAATGAAGGTTGTAATGGATTGTCCAAAGCACATACAGGGGTTGGAACATGTCCTATTTTTCCACATCACCTAACTATTGGGGGATCTAATCTCTGACAGATACCTCTGAAAATGCAGCAAACCCCCAGAACGGGCATTTATCAATCTCTGATGTGTGACGGGCTATCTATGTGTGTGTGTATATATATATTGGATATGAAGAGAATATCATCTTCTTTTTTTTGATGCTAGGATCATGTATACATATATATATATATATGTATGTATATGTATATATATATATATCCCATTTATCCCCCTTCCCTGTTCATATTAAACTGAAGATCTTACCCGTCAGAAAATGGGGATTTTTTATGGGGTTTAATGATGTTTAATAGGGTATCAATGGTGATTTAATAGGGTATCAATGGTGAAAAAATATTCTCGTGTAAATTTAATGGGATATTGGAGGGGATATAAGTTTGGAACTGGCCACTTCTAGTTAACCCCTTCCAGGCCTTTTACACCCCGCAGAAACCATGGTGGATGTAGGGGATGAAATCACATATTTGGAACCATAGAATGGAGTTGTTTTTTGTTTTGGGGGGATGGGATGATTACGTATGGGAAATCACTGATAAATGGAAGTTTTAATCGGAAAATTATCTATAAATGTGCCCCCAAAAACGGATGTATTGGTAATATTACAGTAAGAGGGCTCTAAGATCTGAAGCTTATGGATGAGGTTCTGTAATCAAGTTTTAAGAATTCCGCAGTAATTCCAGCAAAAAAAACAAAGTGAAATTCAAACAACAACGGGGATTTCCAATCAACTTATACTGTTGGATACGATTAGATTTATCTCATGCTATATCCCAACAATCCAAACTGGGATTCTTGCTAGGTCAGATGTAGCAGGTTCTCAGCCAGGTCTGCCAGGTATTCAAAATTCCCTTCAGACCGTCCAAGAGGGGACGCCCAAAAATAGCCAAAGCTTCCACAACTTCACGTCTTGACCTTTCCCGCAGACTGGTCTATGTAGCTTTTCATTGCTGTAAGGCGTAAGAGCCACTCTGAAGACTAGCATAGACTAAGTAGATACGAGTGCCGCGGTTTGGTATGGATGTATAGTTGAACATAGGAATAAGCACTTGATTTGATATGCCATTCCACATGGTACCCCTACATAGCACATATATGATCCAGGATGGTTTGCAATACCAATGAACCCTTCGTGTCAATGCGTTGTGATGTACAAATCATACCAAGAGGCAAGTCATTTAGAATTTCAATGTACCCTCTGGTAAATTAACAGTTTGCTATGAAAAATGACTCATTTATAGTTGATTTACCTATGAAAAATGGGGATTTTCCATAGCTACGTTAATTCAATCAAGTGTTTATTTCGCCACTTCCATCTGGCACACTGAGACGACAAAGTGCTGAGACAGCTTAGGGCTTTCACCCAGTAGCATTCCCATTTTGCTGCTATTCCCATCTCTATCAGCAATTCTATTCTATTGGCTTCAAAACCAGCGATTGGTGTATCGCACTGCAAATATCTGGGTGACCAAATATAAACCAATCTATCTGGGTAAATTATAATATTTCACTAACCTGAAATAAGGCCATTTGGGGATGATTTCCCTTACTAACCATGATTCAAGTGAGGTCACAGTGAGGTCGTTATAATTTACCCAGATCTATATCATTCACCAACAATCTCAACTCGCTTGCAGTGAGATTTTCCCACACCATGTCTTGGGAGGCTGATCTTGTTCAACGTACTGCTCAGTCAGCATTGTCCATGTTGTCCCATAAATTCTGTCACTTTAAGCAACCCATCATTTTCAGACACCCCCATATCTCAAGATTAATCAAAAGGTTATTCGTAAGTGACTCACTTAATCAATTACCTTTCATCCAAGTCCTCACTTGTACTTGTATCATATATCTGTATTGACTGATAATTGACTGATAACTGACAACTGACTCCCACTTATACCCATGTCCCAATCTATATTTACAATCTGATTCATTGATTCATCATCCTATCTCCCTAATCAATATTCAATATCCCACTAGAAATTCCTGGGGAAATGTATTGGAATTATTCATTTCGATCGGAGGCACATTATTGAAACTACAGTTGGTCAGTTCTAACCATGATATGCCCATGAATACCCCATTCAATCACCATTTGGAAATCCATCATTTTCCCATCAAATCAATTGAAAAATCCACTGTTCGAATATCCCTGAAAAAAAAAAACGCATTCAAATCCATGAAATCCAATGTTCGATAAACTAATGTTGGGTATACCATTCTATTCCCATGGAATTTCCCTGATTTCATCCTTTGTTGATGGTTGAAACGCCCATCCCGAATCCCCGTCCTCAGAGTAGAGACTTGTGGCTAAGTTGAAGGAAAGATTGAAGGTCCAGGCGCCCAACGGGGCTCCGTCGGAATCAGCCACTGCTAAACCTAGATCATCTTGGATATGCGGGCCCCACTTAGTGCTGTATAATCCATATACAAGCCATATCATCCCATATATAGTGTGTATATATATATGTAATAGGGTATATTACATATGTAACTAGAGGTATAACTCATTACGAAGTGGAATGCACCACCGATTGGGGATACGCATGAAAGTTGATTCGAAAAAATATTGCTCTGGTGACCTAGTGTATATGGTTCATATGGTTCATATGGTTCATATGGTTCATGATGCTTCATAAATATGCCCAATAAATCAGGTCGACAACCCCCCATACAACTAACAAGGGTCATACAAGGGTTTCTATGGTACTATGGTCGATTCTTCGGATTCATCGTGATGGTCATGATGGTCAATGTCCCGAAGCAATGGATGACACGTAGTTACCCAGTTTTAGAAGACCAGCATTTACACCCGGAACATTTGGGGAGTGTTCATATATATATATATATATATCGCGTATCTAAGAGTTATTGAAAAGCATCCTTCCCAAATTTCAATGGTGGATTTTCGAACAACATGCAACACCTTTCTGGGAGCTTGGCTTGGTTTTTAACTCCCCCCGATGGCTTCTTAATGGGTACTTATTGGGTATGCTTTATGGCGTTGGGATTACCACATGATATTACCAATCGAACAGTGGTTACTTTGTGTGTAGACGGTTTTCCGGTTTTCGCCAAAACTGCAAATAGCACTAGGCTTGAATCACTCTGTTATAACATGTTATAACCAATGATGGTGCGGCCAACTTACACCTGAAACAAACAGTGCTGTCATGCGCAGGATGTGCTGGGCTAGCATTGGAGATCCTGAAGCATTGCCAGAGTAAGGCTGTTCTGTCATTGGAGTCATGATGTCATGCGATGTATATCTATGTATGTATATATAGTTACTGTGTGTATATATAGTATACATACTGTAAATATATATATTACTGTAAAAATACTGTGCATATATATATAGTATACTGTACATGTATGCACATGTACAAACCGCACAGTGGGATGATTCCTCCAATGCCAAAATCCTCTCCAACAAACGCATCAAACGGGGATGGCCATCCGGATCCATCCGGGGCCGGTCCAAGGAACCAAATTGGATGGGCCACAGATAGTCCACATTTTCGCGCAAAGCAGTGTAACCTGACCATCAACTCAGGACTACCCTCTGGTAATTTAACGTAACTATGGAAAATCACCATGTTTAATGGGTAAATCCACTATAAATGGCCATTTTCAATAGCTATGTTAAATTACCAGAGGGTAAAGGCGAATGGTGGTGTTCACCCAAATTGTCGGTTGAGTGAACCAACCATAACCAAACATAACCAGCGGTTTCAGCAGGGGCTGAAATGTTGCTCGCCACGTTAAGGGGATGAAATCAACTCTAACAGCCACAAGCTCTTGGTTGGTTGGGATTAGTCATATCTAGTCATATCCATCTTCCAAAAAATCTGCATAGGAGATCTTCGATGACTCTCTTGGTTGCCTCCACGCGACAAATGGAGAACCAGATCCAAGTGATCCCAAGACCAACTCACAATGACAAAGTGGAAACTTCTCGAAAGAATTGGCCAACTCCAAGCATCTTCCAAAACCTCTCAACCCCTCAAGCCACGTAGTGATTATAGTTGTCAGTGCTTTTTGAAGCATGTTCCAAATTTGATTCATCATGCATTGAAAAAATCACATCAAACATGGTCGAACTCCCACAACTTTCGGAAACTCTGAATTTCGTCGCAGATCAGGTCTTAAAGTATTCCCATCTCCCAGCATATCTTCCATGGTTAAGGCGCTTAAGGTATGTCTTCCCCCCATGTTTCCTGCAAAAGCCCAAGGAACGGGCCGATCTGGGCGCAAAGGGATGATCTTCGAGCAGAAAGCCCGGAAACTCCGTATCTAACGCCTGAGGAAAGGCTGGATGTCCGTTGGTCCTCCAAAATCTGTGAAAACGTGGTGTTTTCACCCAATGTTTCATCAACTATCCCCAGTTCTATCCCCAATCTCACCAGTTCTGTGGGTATATATCAACATTTATAAACCCTCCCGAAAATGGTAGGTATATAATTCGATATACTTCGGATTAATTGGGTGTTCCACATTTTCGTTAGATCGATACATATACAGTTAGGTCGTTACTGGGAGGTACCAGTACTTGATGATGGCTCAGAAGTTGCTACGATCCTTCCTCCCGATATTGAAATATCACCCTTTCAAACCCTAGCTCGGTAATGTTTAGTATTGGATCTATTCATTTTGGGGTCCATATGGGGGGTAATTATCGAACATTCGGGGGGTGGGATCAGTTAATTCCAATGCTTTTGGAGCTGAATCAAATTGACCTAAGGCGGAGCCCCAGAAACTGGTTAAACAAATATCAGAAACCCCTACTGAAAGGCCCCCCCAGTTCTGAGCCGGTTTGTAAACCCATACACCCCGAGATATGTACAGAATAAATCCTAACTAGCCAAGTTGTAAAGCAACTTACATCAGCTTACCCATCTAGGGGGCCTCTTCCTGTACTGATTGGTCATGGTGCGCAACGCGCCGGGCCAAGTCCAGAAATCAAGAGGAACTCGACCAGGTACGCTTGGTGGTGGTTGAGCAAACCTCTGAATATCTATGGTCTATATATATAATATAATATATATATATATGATTAATTATATATGTGTGTCATTAGGGATCTCCTCATCCCATTTGTTGGGGTGGAATATAGAACGAATTGTCTGTTTTTCCTTGCATTGTCTGATTTCCTGAACTCAAATAATCCATCCTGTATTTTAGACTTCTTGACATGTGGATGGGGATCGGAATAGTGATTGCGAATCAAAATATGGATGCTCTTCTGCAAACATGTTGAACATTGGAATTTCCCATGGTTCAGGGTTGCTACCAACACCCTAAGTAGGAAGAAAAATGCTATACTAAGAAGTATAAAAATATCTGGTTGGTGGTTTCAACCCTACCCCTCTGAAAAAATATGAGTCAGTTGGGATTTTATGACATTCCCAATTAATATGGAAAGTCATTCAAAATTCCATGGTTCCAGTCACCACCAAGCAGAAATCCATCAAGTGTTCCCCCGCGGCCATCAAGTTGCCCGCACCAGTGGATGATATAAATGGACCATCAGTGGCTGATTTCATCCCATTCAAAGGACACAAATCAATCATTCCTTGGTAAAACATATAGTTACCCTCTGGTTATGACTAACATAGCCATGGAAAATCACCATGTTTAATAGGTAAACCATCTATTTCTATGGGCCATTTTTCCATGGCTATGTTAAATAACCAGAGGGTAAATCATGTTAAATCCCCATGTTTGGTTTCTAAAGAGCCATCTTTGACCATTCCGATGGCTCAAGAATTTTGCCTTCTCATCGTTTTCCCTCGTGGATAAAGTCATGAAACCTGTAGACGTCCCCCATTGTTTCTGGCCTATTTGAGTGTCATCATGTTTCCTATTCATTATTTTTGGATTACGTATGGTCAAATCCATTGAAATCCCTGGTTCTTATTCATTATTTTTGGGTCACATATGGTCAAATCATGTCAAATCCATTGAAATCCCCTTTTGTGCAGGTTTTTTTTTCCACCATGTTGAAACGTGCCGAAACGTGCGCCGGGTGACCACCATGACGGGTCGTTCTGGATGGGCTTTCTCGGACAAGATGGACATAAACGCCTGGATTTAGATAGTCATCTTAGTTCATAAAAGTATAGTTCATAAAAATGATGAACTATTGATGGTGGTTAAATCATTTAGATAGTCATCTATATGTTCGGGATTTCAACATCAAAGTATAGGGATTTTAGATGATTTAAGTATGATTTAACCATCAAAATGGTGCTTTAAAATGGTTTGAGCATCAAACATATGGATGTGAATCTAATTTAATCTAGATATGGCATGTTGAGAGGGTGAAATAGTGATTCGCCAATCAGATAAGATAACGTTAGGTACAACCTGATTGGACTAGATTTGATTTGTTTGATTTAGACTAGATTAGGTTTATATTTGATTAGATTTGGATTAGATTAGATTTAGATAAGATAAGATTCGAATAGATTGGATACTTATATAAATAGACATGCTCAACATGGACATCAAGACTTCCACAATGTCTTGTGATTTTTCGCCCCTTTTCTCCAGAATCAGAAAGACGATTCTAGCAGCATGGTTTGCTGGAAAAGCCACTATTTACTGGTTGGTGGTTTTAACCATCTTGAAGAATATGAAAGTCAATGGGAAGGATTATGGAAAATAAAAAATGTTTAAAACCACCAACCAGTTTAGTTTGATTCTCCCGGCTGATCATCCCGAAGGCTGCGGGAAAACTCCCCATTTCGTTGCTCGGGAATTGTGTATTGAAACCTCCCATGGCGGAATTTCCAGCGATGGAACATGATGGAACTGATGACTCCGTGCCCTTTTGTGAAGTGAAGTCACCAAAGGACCATCCAAATCCTAGGATCTCTTCTTGGGATTCTAGGAAGTGATCCTTTAGAATGCCAGGTCACTGAAATTCTGAACTTTATTCGAAAGCCAGAAATGCTCCCAAAATTTCTCGGAAAAGGATTCCAGGATGCTCGAGGCATCTCGATCTATAAGTGGTAAAAATACTTGTCCCCCATGAATTGGGGGTCAATCGTGGTCACTCCCCAATTTTCACAGACACCCAAATAGCTTCTTTAGGTGGTTCCCCGCAGTTAGAAGTTGGCTTATAACTACCCCATCCCCCTCATCCTGATACTACATCCTTAAATGGCCCCAAACATGTGTAAATCACCCACTGAACCATGGTTTTTGGGGGGGTGTTTAATATTAGGGGGATGGGATTATTAAATCCGATATATCTACCATAAAGCCTAGTTAGTCAACTTGATTCGACCAACTTAGCTAATGAACTGGGGCGGTATAGACATATACAGTGATATACACATAGGCTAAATTTCGGCTAAATTGGCTAAATCCAAACAAATGGTTCTCCCATTCTCATGTGTTTCACCATTTTTGATGGTCAACTCCCCAATCATTGGGGTTGTTTGAACATGTTTGAACGTATGGTTCCCAAAAAGCCACTGGTTGATCATCATGTTCCTCACAAAAGTGGCAGTGTCATCTTCGTTTCTGATGCTTACCCTCTGGTAAACTAACATAGCTATGGAAAAACACATTTTTTAATGGGTAAATCAACTATTTCTATGGGTCATGTTCAATAGCTATCTATGTATGTTTACCAGGCCGGGTGTATCTTTTTTATCATCACCCACCAGCTCTCCCCGGGCCACCTCCCACTCGTATTGAAAGTTCCAGGACCAGACATCGTGCAGCAGACAATGTCCACCACTCTGAGGCCATCCTGCCAAACCTCCCGCCAGACCTGAGGGATAGACAGAATGATCCAAGAACAAGATGGTTACTAGGAGAATATAATTAATTAATGATATGGTTTAGTAATATATAAATCATTGGGTCCAATATACATTGATCGTCATATATGATTATATATATATGGTTCGGGTAGGATTTTAGTTCGATGGGTTTTACAATATGTTTCGGTCTAACTCGAGTTTATGATAAATATAAAATCGTAGGCCAACGAACAGTTATGGGGCACCACCTGGTGAAGGTTTTCTTCGACAAATGCTTGCTTCGGTGCGGAGCCTTTCACACGTTTGCAGGACGTTTTATCCATCAGGGAACATGATGAACCTGATCTGCATAAGAATGTGCACATAATATGTATATATAAATATATATATAATACATGTCAATGTGTGATTCCAAAGTCATGGGGGTACCCCCAAATCATCCAGTCGTCAGACCAGGGTTCTTCGTATAGGTTAACCGATGGTGACGACCCGGGATCCCCATGGAGCCATGGACCAAGGCACTCAAAGTTGGTTTCTTTGTGGTCACAGCTTGACCTGCAAATTTCACCGAGAAACACCGCCCGTTTTAGCCAAAAAACACATATATACCAGCTTTTGAATGGTGATTTCATGGTGATTCATTGGTCATTTAATGGTCATTTAATGGGATTGAATGGGATTTTACCAGTTATAAATGGCTATTTTTATGGGGCTATCATTCCATAAATGGGCTTGTAACTGACTTAAAACTGGTAAAGGGCCATCACCGTTCCAGGTTGGAGGCTTCAAGTTGGAAAAGGGGCATAACATGACCATCTCCAGATCGAAAAAAAAAACGAACAAATCAGATTTTTCAATGGGGCAAAGCCTGGTTCCAGCCCGTTTTGGGGCGAGGCAAGTTCTGCGCGGTTCCCTCGATAGGTTTTGGACCAAGCGGAGATCTGCATGAGTCATCTCACGGGGATGTTGTATGATGTGTCTAAAATCCTTCAACGACACCGTGGATAAAACATGATAAAACCATTGATTTGGGTGTTGCCCCTGATTCAATGAATTTCAATGATGTCGATCTGGGCAAATTATAATTCACAGACCGAATTGCAGCGAAGCGAATCCATCTTGAGATGATTCCCCTTGCTAACCATCATTTAGAGGCCAGTTAGATTCCGGAATAATTTGCCTAGACAACGTCCCTGAAATTTCAGATTAACACGGCCATTCGGGCAAAATGATGATAATCCTTTGGGCATTGGGGATAGCCCATCTGTAAATTTCCATTTCGGTCAAACATGGTCAACCGGTTAAACCTCAAATTGTCATCCCAAGCTACAGATTCACACAAAACCCTTCTATATATATATATACAATATATATATACAATATAATATATATATATATACAATATATATATATATACAATATATATATATATACAATATATATATATATACAATATATATATATATATATACAATATATATATATATACAATATATATATACATATTGTATATATATGTATACATATTGTATATATATATATACATATTGTATATATATATACATATTGTATATATATATATACAATATATATATATACAATATATATATATATACAATATATATGATATGATATGATATGATATGATATGATATGATATGATATGATATGATATGATATACTATAATATATACAAAAACCCTCTTAGATGCTGGACGATTTTTTCGCCTCTAAACTGCGGAGATGGAATTTGCGAGATCGCGGGTGCCACGATCCTAGGCGCCGGCGGCCGAGTGTTACAATGCGTGGCGTTTTGTGTCACCCAAGAGGATGGCATCAGGGAATCCCAACAAAGAAATGGCCAGTTGAAAAAAAAAAGTCATGGAAAGGCAGGTGTCCACTTTGTCCACTTTGTCCACTTTCCACACAAAGGTCAGATGATTTTAGTACTGGGGGTGGTCCAATTTTCGAGGGGGTTCTTTTCCAAGATGGGTATAGTTCATAACTACAACTGTGCACCCGCTTCTAGATGGGATAAAGCTACTTGGCGGGTCACCCCACTTAGCAAATAGTTCGTAATGTACCCTCTGGATATTTGACATAGCTATGTAAAATGGCCCATTTTATAGACGATTTATGATGATTTACCTATTAAAAATGGTGATTTCCTATAGCTACGTTAAATAACCACGGGGTAAGTCATAATCAAGCCAGTCATCAGGGACTTGGCTGGTATCAATTCTGATCAATGGGATGCTTCTAGAGCTAGTCCCATGGTAGATCGGGACTAAGGCTGGGCTGTTAAGAGCTGAAGCAGCAGCCGTTTCGACAGGTTTTTTTGGGCATAAGCTGCTTGAATGGGTTTAGAACTCCCAAACAAGACTTGCCGGTTTTGCCAGCAAAGTTGAGGATCGTCCGAGCATTCCAAACCCACCTCTTGAGCAGCGTTCAAAGCCCTCTGTCATTCCATTTCACCGGAAATCACCTTTTTTTTTTTCGGTAAATCATCATTTTTATCATCTATAAATGGGCCATTTTCCATAGCTAACTGGCTTGATTATGACTCACCCTGTGGTTAACGTAGCTATGGGCTGGTTAAGAACAGAATCCCCGAGACTTTGCCAGGGGCGCTGCCACCTCAAATACAGGGGTTGGTACCCTCTGGTGAACTAACATAGCTATTGAAAATTGCCATTTATAGGAAAACCATATGGAAAAACCATAGGAAAATGGTGGTTTAATGGGATTTAATGGTGATTTAATAGATCTACCCTCTGGTAAACATACAAAAAGCTATTGAAAATGGCCATAGACATAGTGAGTTTTCCCATTAAAAGTGGTGATTTTCCATTGCTATGTTAGTTCACCAGAGGGTAAATGTCTTTATTAAACACCACCCAACTATTGGCAATATACTCGCCAACAGATCAAAACGAAAGTGATGTTCAAAGTCGCCAAAACGGAACATCTATCAACCATTTTTTTAATGGATATTGGGATATACTAGGATTATATATCCCATGAATCCCTTCCCATTTCATATTCAACAGGAGGAAATTTGCAATCAACACATGGGATTTCGTGGAATTTAGTGAGTTTTAATGGTATATTAATGAAATTTGAAGGAAATAAACCAACAAAAATTAGGATGCTACCCTCCAGTCAACTAATATAGATTAATATAGTCATCCTGGAGTAGATAGAATGTGACAAGTGCAATAACGTTCCCATGTTAGTGATGATTGATTGAATACATTCATATACCCCATTTATATATCCCAAGAATTGGGAAACCCCAAGTCCCCATAGGGTTTCAATACAAAAAAAACTTACTATATAATTTGTATGATTTGTTGGTACCCCTATGACTTAGGAAACCTCCATCTATTTATAGACCCCATTTATCTGGGTAAATTATACTCTGGTTGGTGGTTTCAACCCCTCTGAAAAATATGAAAGTCACTTAGGATCATGACTCCCAACTGAATGGAAAAATAAAATTCATGTGCCAAACCACCAACCAGGACTAATTCACTAACCTGAAACTTTTAAGGTCACGTTGGGATCACTCACCCAACATGAATCATCATCTATGGTGCATTTGCTAGTTTCCTAGGTCATGGAGGTAACTCAAAAAATCAGCAATTCTTCTTTGGGATTTTCCACTATAAACCATCCATAACTTGGGGATTCCCCATGACTTAGGAAACCCCCATATTTTTGGAGATATCATATTTCACTAACCTACCAAACGTTCGGCCATTTGGGGATGATTCCCCTAAAATAAACCATGATTTCCAGGGTTCGGGAGAACAGGTTTCGGTCGTGATCAAATTTACCCGGATATATGGGATATTGATTCCTACATGGGAAAATATAACCATTAATGGATATATATATATATATACGTATATATATATACATATATATATATATATCCAATCCATTTGTTAACCATTAATTTAATTACAATTATCCCCAATTTATATTTGAATGAGATTTCCATTTATTGTTGATTATACCATTAATATACCATCCAACTATCATCCGATCATGTTCTGACCCAGATTTATATCTCCCAATCCACCGCACCCAGGCTCTGCTCCACATGATTTGCCCCACGCCATCGATCATGGAAGGACGCGCCCACGCCGGCTGCGACGTTCAGGGGGGCCTCATCCTTCCACCAGTGTCCGGGGTGTCCTGGGCAGAGAACTTGGTGGGGAAATGGTGGATTTTTACAAAAACATGGACCAAAAATGACCAAAACGTGGATTCCTGTTGGGATGAGTTTTCGGAGTCATTTTTGTTGGGAGTTCTAAGGATTTGTCGGAGAAATTGTGTGGGAGGACAAGTTTTGACAGACCAACCTTAAATGACATTGATACCAGATGTCAAAACTTGTCCTAGCATTGATACCAGATATCATTCATTAAACACTTATGATTCATGATGTTAATTGCATTGATACCAGACCCGATGTGTGTTTGTGCTCACGCTCTGGCCGCCAGTTTTGACCAGCACAACTCGGCCTTGCACAACTCACCACGGGCCGACAACTGGGTACCGGGGTGAACTGACCCAGGGGATTGGCTGGTGGTTTCCAACTACTCCAACATCCATCATCATCATCATCATCAACATCATCATAAATAAACATGAACATGATCAAAGACGTGAACATCAACAACATCAACAACATCAACAACAACAACAACAACAACAACACCAGCAGCAGCAGCAGCAACAGCAGCAACAGCAACAGCAACAGCAACACTATCATATGTTTATTCCTCATCATCTATACGCATCATATCATATTCTAATGATAGTCAATCAAAAAATGTTCAAAACCCTCTCACGTCCCTTCATGCTGCCTGGTTACTAGGGATTCCCATACTGGAATTTGATCAACCCACAATATATTGGTGGGTAAGGTTAGCAACTAATCCCCCTACATATAATCATCAACCATCATTCTTCAATGATATCCACGTTTCATATCTCCATATTTCGGATGCAAAAAGAAACAACAGTGAAATGAAGAACTGGCCATCTTTCCGTCTTAGCAGCTCATCCTCGAACGACATCATCAACCAACCATCAATTACCAGTTATCCCCATATTCATGGGAATAAAAAAAAACATAAAACCATACCAGTAATATCCAGTAATCCACAATTTTTCGATATTCACCATCAACCAACCACTATTCTATCATAATTTCGATCGTTGAAATCCCCAAAATCCAAAAAAAAAACCGAAGCAAACATCATTCGTCAACTAAATATCAATGATATATCCAGATATATCCAAATGTTCAATGGCCATTCCAGGATCCGATTGAGGACGGAGGTACCTACCATTAATATTTTAGGCCATTAATATCAGGCCCAAATTTCAGGGAAGATCGGAAGATCCCCACAAAATATGGCCATGTTTAACACCCAGAAATCCCATTGAAATGTTTCATTCATGTTCAACACCCAGAAATCATCCCAAAAAAAACCGGTCAACTGATGTCGCCCCCAAGGCTCGGTCGCTTCGCCCAAGCCATACGCGACCCACGGGGCGGGCCCAACGACCACCCTCGCCACGTTGGCTATGACCTGCAAAACGGGGGAGCTTTTTTTGGGCAGGGGTCAGAAGCAGGGGTCAGAAAAGAACCTGTATGATCATCAATGAAAATGAAAAGAGTGGAAAATCATCTTCCAAATTCTTGGCAGTGCTTAATACCCTCTGGTAAACTAACATAGCTATGGAAAATCACAATTTTTCATGGGAAAAACCACTGTAAATGGCCATGTTCAATAGCTATTTTGACATAACCAGAGGGTATTTGTTACTGGAGCGTACCATTTACGGCTCGGACTCCACTATCCGATTCGGAAGCCTCTTGCGGGCCATCGGTACCAATCGTCTGGCCATTGCACCCGACTCATCGCGGTGCTTCTGTGCGGGGCGGCTGTGCTTTCTTCGATTCCGAATTGCCTGTTGTGCTAATGCGGGACAAGGGATAAAAAATGGATTTACAAGAGAGAACTTGAGACTTACTTGTAGGATAGTGCAGATTCAGTATGCAGTATCCTTCTATATAGTCGTTTTGCATCCTTCCAATGTTCCGGTGCTGGGTCTTACAGGTTTCTCGCAAAAACCTCTGCACAATCGCATCTTGGTGCGGGTCCAGAAATCCCGGGAGAAGGTCAAAGTTGTGAGTCCTTTTTAAGTCTATCAAGTTCTTCACCACTCTAAACCATTAAATGCTATAAATCTATATAAAAGATCTTCAAATTTGATGAAGTCGTTCTTGCAAAAACCCTGCAAGAACTGGTGCCAACTATTCCCAACTGTTCAGCGGCTCGCTAAACCGCGCAACGTTTGGCTCTCCGCTAATCCCGGCGCCCGCTGAGCCAGATTTTTCAGGGAAGCGATGAGAGATTCTCCATGAAACATGTTACCCTCTGGTAAACGTTTACATAACTATGGAAAATCACCATTTTTAATGGCTAAATCAACTATAAATATCTATAAATCACCATTTCCAATAGATATGTAACAAATTACCAGAGGGTAACACGGGAGAACCACTCTTGCAAACATTGTCATATGGCAATGGATCAGTTAATCCTTGTGCTGGTAGTTTTCGATCTTCCCCCCACTGAAATCCGGAGGGTGCTCAGTTCACCCATCTCTAACTGGAATCGACATCCCATCAACATCCCATTTTCACAAAAGCTGGCATAAAAGCATACAAAAGCTGGGTAATCCCCATCATCTGGCACCATGAAAACGGTGCTTAGCAAAGCTAAGTAAAGCCCGTGCCATGCCGTGCCGCAGAAGTAGGACTTCTACGTCATCTCTGGGCTCCCCCAGCTTAACCCATAATGTTGCTCAGAGATTGATTGCCTGAACCCCCCGGACCTCCCAGCCAGAATGCCAGTGAGCAAATAGAATGTGCTGGGAGAGTAAGGTCCCAACACCTTTTGGTTTTTTGAGGGGTTATAACTCACGAATTCTGGCAATATCTAAGCATCATGCTGCTTGCTTTAGCGGGGTGTTCTGGGACTAGCATCAGGATGGGGATGTTGAGAAATTAGGTCGCAAGATGTAGCAAGCACGTTGTGGGAAATAATTGGTGTGAAACAGCGGGGGCTGGCACATCTTGACTATCTTGACAGAAAATGTAATGGTTGGCTCAAAATTACGAGAATGACTCGAATGTCACATCATGGATTTGTTAGACCTCTGTGTACCTATAATTTTCAGGGGGTCTTGTGTCAGTGCTGAGTACCAAAAGAGACTCTCCCTGCAACACCATGAAAAGATCCACCATTGCTGGGCTTATACGTGTGGGAAACACACATTAAAATATTTGGCAAAAAACATGGGAACGAAAATAAATCAACCTAGGGTAAAGACCGGGTAAGGAAACATATATATATATATATACATGAAATCCAGACCCATCTCTGTAAAACACCTACGTAGAAACTGTTGTGTCCTTTTGAGCAAACTATTACAGCGCCCCTTTGCTGTATCATGCACCATCACTTATTGGTTGCAAAGAATGCCAGGTTCCATCTCTATATTCACCATGGGTTTCTGAGGGTTGCTGCTTAGGAGGAAACCGTCAGAATAATTCACAAAAAGGTAGGAACAAACAAACATGGTATCATGGCAAGAAAAACTGGATACCACACAAAACGGCAAACATTGGGGGTGTGCAATTATAGACCCATTACCAAACATTGGGGATAGTACCCTCTGGTAAACTAACATAACTATGGAAAATCACCATTTTTAAGAGGTAAATCATGATCAACTATAAATGGGCAATGTTCAACAGTTATGTTAAATTACCAGAGGGTACCCAACAGAAACATACACAAACGGTGATATTCATCAACCAGCTGAAAAGGGGTTTTGAATGGTCCGATCCTCATCAAATGCAGTGGATACCTGGCAGGAAAAATCCTTCGTGCTTTTGCTTGGTGGGTGGCTACCGCAATTGGCCGATGACATCCAAAATGATGGGTTCTTATACTATCAAAATACTGCTCTGGATCTTCAGAATGCAGGCATTTTTGGCACCACGAAAACAAAAAAATAAAAGAAAAAAAACAAAAAAAAAAAAAGAAAGAACGGAATACAGCAAACGCATAACAAAGAACCCCTACGACTCTGCTCAAGCGATAGGATGCAAAACACCGGATCTGGGGGGAGATCTAGAGTAGAGGGCTCGGGTTGGCAGACACCTTATTTTTTCGAAAAATGTTCAGCACCAAAGGGAATCCAGTTCTGAGAGAACCTTGGAGCTATTGCTAATGTCATCCCTGTCATCCCATCAAATTCCTCGTATGCCCCATATATTTCTTCCACTCCATCGAGGTGAACTACCAAGCAACCAAAGAACACCCAAGGAACATCCAAAATCTGGTTGAATTATATCTGGTTGGTGGATGTTGGTGGTATACCTACCCCTCTGAAAAATATTATGAAAGTCAGTTGGGATGATGACATTCCCAATATATGGAAAAATAAAATTCATGTTCCAAACCACCCACCAGATATATAGTCATGTTACAGTCATCTATTGATTCATTTTCCCTGTTGAAATATGTACCCTCTGGTAAACGTTTACATGGAAAATCACCGTTTTTATAGTGGGTAAATCAACTATAAATATCCATGTTCAATAGCTAGGTTAAATTACCAGAGAGTATACAAATTACTGGCTGGGGCATGAGAGGAGACCGCGTTCCCCCAACTAGTTGAGCCATCTGCCAAGATTCCAGTCGCAGCGGGCAACCGGACCGATGGCTTGTTCGAAACACCTCCGGCTGCACGTTTCGAAGCTGTTGGGAGCGACTTGTCGTCTCTGGTATGGAAATCACATGTTTCATCGAAAAATCATCTACTGGTTGGTGGTTTCAGTCCCTCTGAAAAATATTATATAGTCAGTTGGGATTATCATTCCCAATATATGGAAAAATAAAAAATGTTCCAAACCACCAACCAGTCTACAACTCGGCCATGTTCCATGCCATTTTCCATGACTATAGTTAGTTTACTGGCGGGTAAAGGAAATTCTGCAGCTGTTTCCCCATCCAAAAATGGTGATTTCCGATAGACTTCGGGGTGCTCTCTTTACAGGGTTACTAAAACGGGTATGACCATGGAATTAACACCCCCACAAGTTGGGATATATCCCCTGCAACTATGGTTAACAATTATATATGTATATATCCACTTAATTTCCACTTATAACTGTAACTGCTTTTCTAAGTAGTGTTCCCTTTAACCAGTTCTTAGACTTGAGAGCCTCCAACCGGTGAGGAATATGGATTGTTTATGGTGATGCAATCTCCTTCTTGCAAAAAAACATGGTTGGATAGATCAACCTAGACTTGGGTTTGTCTGAAAATCGGCTATGGCTACCCCCAAATTGAAACATTACAGGTAAATCAGGGATGGGTAAATGGCTAGTCCGGGCTCCATCAGAAGGAACCAGAGCAAAAAGCAAAACGGGATCCCCTGGATTCATTGGGCATTTGCCCAACAAATAGATAAAGTCTCAAACGAATCCAAAAGGGAACCATATGGCATAGGATCCATGTATGCTATATATCGTAACATTTACGTATACCATCAATATACCCCCAATTTTAGCATATATACCATACATGGATCCTATGGGTATGGCATGGACTATTTAAAAATTGGTGCCCCTAAATCCGTTGATTGATCATCGGCTTCCTGAAACGTTTTTGGCAACCTCCCGGACTTTTCTCGGACCCAAATCCGGGTTATTCACGACGTTATGGTTATCATCACAGCGCCATTTTTCATGAGAACCCCCTCTGTCAAACATGTGGGTTTGTCTGAAAATAGTGTACCCCTACACCCAATGGTTAATGATCATTATCCCTACTAAATGGCGATTTCATTGGGGGTATACCCCATTTTCAGACATACCCATGTGGTTTATGGTGAAAGCCCTGTGGTCGCCCAAAAATGGGTCGTTTTCTGAGGTTTGGACCTGGAAAAGGTGGCCAACTGATCCGATGTCCAGAAGGCCTAGCGTGCCAAGTGAAACCTCTATGGAAAGCGCTATGGTGTTTGACATGTACCCTCTGGTTATGTCAAAATAGCTATGGAAAATGGCCATTTATAGTGGATTTTCCCATTGAACATGGTGATTTTCTATGGCTATGTTAGTTTACCAGAGGGTAAAACATCTGTGACACATATGAATGTGTCTGGAAAGAGGGTATACCCCCAATTTTTTCGCCATTCAATGTCGGGAAATTCATGATAATCCAATGGATGGAGTACACTATGTTCAGACAATTTTCCATATTCTTAACTTGAAAAACACCCAGCTTACGTGAGCTGGAATATTTAACAACATCTACACCATAAAACACCCAGCTTTTGTAGGTACATATACTAAGCATATGGGATTGTTAATTTGACTAGCTATTCATCCCACCCCACTAAGATTGTATACATCTCTCCCAGAAAAAATGAACATAATCCGCCGACCCCTGCCGCCAGCAGGGGGAGCGCATTAGAGGAGGACTGGCTAGGGGCTGTCGCCCGCAAGCCCGGCCCGTCCTTCAGGACCGTCCTTTTTGAGACTGGCGAAGGCGCCGTTTTTGAATGTTTGTGACGGCCGGAAAGGGCGCGTTTTTGAAGGTTTGACGGCTGGAAGAGAGCTTGTTTTCTTGTAGGTTCAGAAAGCAACGTTAGGCAGTGGGAGCCGTTGCCCGGAGGCTCGGTCCGTCCTTCAGGGCCCTGCTGTTTTGCTGTGGCGAGGGCGCCGTTTGTGAGCCTTGACGCCTGGAAGAGAGCTAGTTTTCTTGTAGGTTCAGAAAGCAACGTTAGGCAGTGGGAGCCGTTGCCCGGAGGCTCGGTCCGTCCTTCAGGGCCCTGCTGTTTT